TGATGAAGAACACTTCCATTAAGCGTCATCCCTGTGGGATTTTCAGGAACAGATGCTTGAAAAAAAATCTAAACAGCACTTCCGAATATTCAAAAATATCTTCGGCATCAGCTGCCACTTCAGCCGCCATGTTTATATTTTATATTTACAGTGCGTCTGCAAAGCATCCTGGGATGTGGGAAGGCGTGGTTACCCACGCACGCATTCCTTGAGCTTGGTTACCAAGCGGGCCGCAAGGAAGAGAAAGAAAGAAATTTGTTGCCCATGTGAAAAGAAAATTGTCAAAACTTCAAAGTTTTCTCAAGGAGATACGAGAGTATTTTAACCTAATATGATGAGTTTGACCTCGGCAGGTTTGTGTTTATGAGTTTCATTTGATGATATGTCTTACTTAAAGGATCTAATAAACTCTCTCAACTTTAACTAACTGTTCTCACGCGGTCGACAGTTTTATGACTAAGCAAAATTAGACAAAATTTCGCGATAACATCCAGTAGTTTTCACGAGGGTTCCTTGTCCCTTTTACGCTCGAATTAATAATTCTTCTTCTCTGCTATAATCGGTGGTTTGTAAGTAAGCAGAATTAGATTAGAAGTTTACTTTAATATTGTGAATGATCGATGTGTCACGATCTGACAATTCGTGATCATGCCCAGCTTTTACGTGAACGTGAAACTTGTAGTAATGACCAGTGACTAGGAAAAGTAAGGAAGAAAATTGTGTTCGGTTAAATAGGGCATTTTCTTGCTGTAAATTAAAGAAATTGATTACTTGGTACGGAAGTGATAAATTCCAAACATGCACAGTGGCATATCTAAAGGATCCCCCCCCCCCCCAAAAAAAAAAAATATATATATATATATATATATCGTTGTTACGATTTCTGTTCCAAAACTATACAATTATATATATATATATTATATATATATTAAGCAAAATTTTTGGGCCCCCACTCATAAACAGGTCTGGATCCGCCACTGGCATGTATCTGCAGATACCGACTGGACTTACAAGACAAATCACTCAAGTCTAGAGATTTGACTCTTGACTCAAGAGACAAGACTACCAACTTACATTTGGCCATTACTACATGTGTTATGCTCACAGTACAAATGTACATGTATATTTTTTCTTGAACAGCTGGTCTGCTGGCATTGCTTGATGAAAATGAACCTGATTTGAAGGTTTGTGTAGTTATCCATTATACAAATACACTATCTGTTATTATAGCACGGGGGCATAGATTAATCCTGAGTAAAGCCAGGAAAAATACCCAACTGTTACAACACAATTACTGGCTGGCCACCAGAGAGGCCCTGTTAGGGTAAAATTAATTCGGACAAGGGACACGGCATTGAAACAGTGACATAGAGAATGAAATGACCACGAACAACAAGACTTCTGTTGAAATTTCAAAATTTCATACATGTACGGTCAACAAATCAATATTATTACTTTGATATCCAAAATACAGCTTAGTTACACAAATTAACTTGATTTAGCATGAATGTATGAATGTAACTCGCATCTTCAAAGAACTGATATAAAAAAAAACTTAAGACTCCATTAATCCCATGGAAACCTCGGCACTAGGATTTCATGATGATGGATGAAAAATTCTGACAGCGACGTGCGGGACCTTCCGAAATTGTGACATTAAAATATTTGAAATTCAGACAGGGGACATGCATAACCCCCTTATAGAACCCTGTCACTCTATTGTACTTCCCAAAATGTATGCCTAGTACAAAAAAAACAAATGACTGGGAATTACACTTTCCGACATGAAGGGGATTATGGGAAGACACTCCTCACCCTCGCACTTACTGGAAACATGACAAGTCTTATTTCTCACTTTGCCTAAATTACATACATTAATTATATTTTTTGTTATGAAAAGGAAATGTTAAAATTTTATTATTTCTTTTTGGAACAGGTCTTTGCTCTTAAGAACCTCCATCACATTGTTGATGTATTCTGGGCAGAAATCTCTGAATCTGTTGATAAAAATGTAAGTCTACAGTAGATCTATAGTGTATTTAACAATATTAGACGTCAAGCTCGAGGTTTCTATTGGCGAGGGGCAAAGCCCAAGTCAACTACATTGTATATATCAAAAGTCGATAGAAAACCGAGAGCGAGCCATCTAATTGTTTTAGCATAACCCACTGAGACCGATCTATTCAAGAAAAACATTCAGTGAAAGTGGTAAATATTTCTAGTTATGGTTTGTGTTTTCGGCAATTTTACTTGTGCATGCTCCCAGGGCAGTCTATCGAAAATTAGACCACCCTTGCATACAGACTGTAGTCAATCAGATTGTGAGTTTGCCTACTAGTCGGTCACTGGGTTATGCTAACGTTGCATACATGTAGAGCTCTTTGGAAACTACATTTTTTGTTGGTTCCTCTCCTGTACATGTAGTACTACATGTAACTCAGTTTACAGATCAGCTAGTCTTGTATTTATGGCCCTCCATAGGAACACATCTTATCAAATACTACAATTTGGTTCAAACCGGGTGTGCAAAGGGTTTGTAAAGGTTTTGGAATGAGTTTGCAAACAGTTTTTGCAGGGTTTGCAAAGAGTAAATAAAGCTGGGTTAAACTTCAAATCATTAATAGTACTGTTAAATTATAGATTAATTATTGGAGCACAATATACAGTACCGCCTGAAGCTATTGACCCATTTGCCGCCATTTTGCCTCAGCTAAACTCCAGATTGACGACGCAGTCTCGCTTCAGTAATGATTCAGCGTGCCAAAATTTTACTCCGGTTCCACCTACATATGTAGGTTTACCTACAGTAGGTGAAGTCACGCAGAACCCTTCTGCAAGGACAAGGTATTGCCATGTCCCAATGTGTCAATACTTTCAGGCGGTACTGTACATGAATTACAAGTAAAGTCCCTGTCAGCGTATGAAACTATTTTTTAACTTTATCCAAAGTGTGTAGTTGTTTTAAGGCTCCTCAGTAACCCTATATCCTTTCTGCAGCTATCATAGAACATAATAATAATTTGAGTTTCCTGGGATGTACATGTAGTAGAAAGCTACTTTGTTTATTTTTCAAAAGTTACTGCAGTAACAGTACACGTATATATACATCATTGTTAACTTTTGATCACCCTGTGTTCAGTGAAGTACTGTATGAAGATGAGGCCTTCAAGCAAAGACAGCTCTCAGCTCTGGCTGGCATCAAAGGTACAATGTACTGTACATGTAGAAAAAAAGATACTGTTACCAAGTATTAATAAAATTCATGGAGTTGTGTCTAAGATTATAAGATTGAACAGTGCCTGCCAGTGTCCATTAATAATGTTGTGTTCTTGGGCAAGACACTTAATTCTCGCAGTGCCTCTGTCGATCCAGGCTGACTTTAAAATGCTACAATGTACATGTAGCTCCCCATCTAGGAATTAGAAAGCTTACTGTACTTTACATGTACATCTATTGTACTGCAGCAGACTAAACTTGCACTGTTCCTCAATGTTTCCAGGTATACTACCATCTTGGAGCTTATGAAGACTCTTTGACATATGCACTTGGAGCAGGAGATCTGTTTGATGTGAATGGTCACTCAGAATATGTGGAAACTATAATCGGTATGGTCATTTATGATTAGGTCAAAAACTAATTTATCTTGGGATATTTGTACAATCGTTATGCATGTTTTTTTGTACTTTACTGACGGAAGTTGGATAATAAAAAATAATGTACAGTGGAAATATCCCGATTTCTTGAACCCTCGATTTCTCAAAAATCACGATAACTCGAACCAAAAGATTTCCGATTTCTCAAATCAATTTTTGTTTCCCTTGGAGGATCGAGAAATCGGGATTCCACTGTACGTCATATTCTTAGAAGTGATTCCTTGTGTGTTAGCAGCAGGAGAGGATTGTATGAATTGTCGCATATTAAAATTTCTGATAAATAAAACTGTTTTAAATATTATTTCTGCAGCCAAGTGCATTGATTCTTACACTGAAAAAAAGAGTTTATAAAGCAGACAATCCAGATGAAGATGTCACTATAGATCCTCGACTAGAAGCTATAGTAGACAGGATGTTCAAAACGATGTTTTGATGATGGAAAGTACAAACAGGTCATTATAATCATTTTTTTTTTTCATAATCTAAAAATGTCTTGAGGACTTAGGACCAATGGTGAGAATTGTATCTAGTCCAAATTTATTGAGATATTCACAGTGAGCAACTAAAATGCATCACACTTTATTTAAATTTACATACATCAGTGCTCGACACTAACGCTAGTACACTAGCCCCCTAGACTAGTTAGTTTCGTGGAAACAATAAATTTTACTACAACTCTATAACTTGGGAAGTTTTTTTTTCTAAGAAAGCTTCATCAGGAGCTAGTTTCCATAGCTTGAGTAATTTAAACCAGAGGAGTTGCAATCCATATCATATCGTTTGCGTACGTACGATCGACTCGCAAAACCGACGCCATCTTGGAAAAGGCCTTGCTGTCCTCGCTTCCATGTCACTCAAAAGGGACTGGGATCTGAGCAGCCACCATAGGTCCGCCATCTTGGATTTTTTTCGCGCCGACCAGTGCAATGACTGAGTCACTGCAGAGAATGAAGAAGATTTTATAGCTTTTTTAACGCCTTACCTTCGAGAAAACGTCTTCTACGGCCGATGATCCTATAGTTTTTTTTCATGGCTTTTTTTTTTTTGACTAGTCGGGCTTGGCGTCCTATTGTGCGTAGTGATTTTTTTTTGTTTACTTCCCTAGCCCATCGCCTTAGTATCTCAAAAAGTTAGTGTCGGAGCAATAGCTGAACATATGCCATTGTACTGTACATGAATTAATTTTTTTTTTAATAATCTTTTTTTTTTCTAGGCTGTTGGCATTGCACTGGAAACCAGAAGATTGCGATGTATTTGAACAAAGCCATTTTAAAATCAGTGAGCTGTTGTTCTTTACTCAGTTGATAATTTGTGATTTAATACACTTTTTTAGCAAGGTGCACGTGAGACATGCTGGCCCAATGGCTAGCGCGTTGGACTCCGGATAAAGCAGTCCAGGTTCGAGCCCTGGCTGGGGTCACGGTGTTGTGTTCTTGGGCCAAGACACTTTACTCTCTCTGTCCACCCAGGAGTACCGGGAACTTTTAGGGCAACTTAACAAAATGCTGGGGGGGTAACCTGGCATTGGACTAGCATTTCACCAAGGGGGAGTACAGTAGATACTCCTAGTCGGCTTCATGCTAAATAGGGCCAGTGTCTTTACGTTTAGCAAGGTGCAGCAATGGTTTCATCCGATAGCCAGGGCTAGAAGTTTTTTCTTCCAAGATTGTATGTATAGCACTGATAGCAGCGTTTAAACCTTTGAACACATTTAGACCCTTGGCAAGTAACATTTTATAATTTCACTTAATTTGTGCTAATGAGACTTATTCTTTTCTTAAGGATGACGTGGCTGGAATGTTTGTCCTACAGTCTTATGGTCTGTATGTCATTACTCCAAAGTAGGCAGTTTAGAAATAAGGTTAATGTTAACTTTGTTTGGATGTAATTTATATTATTATATTGAGAGACAGCGTTTCATCCGATTTTCAAACACAGAGGAGAGTTGAGATGTATTTACAGCGGAGTATTTTTGACGAAAATTCAAGGTGTTTGGAAATTGGATGAACTTCTGTCTCAAGACATTGACAGGACAGGGGCATAGTAATTTCCCTTACATATAGCTACTACAAGTTTGACCCTGGGTATGGACCATAGAAACTCTCACTATGACACGGAATGCTACCTTTATGATCCTATTCCAGACTAAATGTGCAAGGGGATATCCTGTGAAATCCAGATCTCAGTCTACATGTACCTTCTTGGTGATAGACAAAATCTACATTTCATTTCAATTTCATTTCAATCTGACTGATGTAGAATTATTGTAATTATTAAATAATATCTATTAACTTTATTCCAGACTGAAGTGGATAATAAAAAACTGAAACCCTTGTACCCCCTCTAAGAATAATGTCATTTCCCCAGATACTTCAAAAACAATAGGGCATTACCGACCTATATTGACCTTTAGCCTTTGTCAATATAGGTCGGTAATGCCCTCGGCCCTTCAATTGTGACAGTCTGAAACATCTGTAAATTATAACAAAAAGCCCATAATAATTGAAGGGCCAAGGACATGTACCTAATGTGTTACATGTACATTGTTACAGTGTTTGTATTTGTACATGTACCATTTGCGGATCCAGGGCAAAATATGAGTGTTTTCCAACAGGCTGCGCTAGGGGAGTCTGTATGTGCATGGTCCCCTGGAAAACCTTTCAGATCATTCATTCCTGAATTCTTGAGGCTAGCAATCAGATTGTTTGATAGAAAAACGTTTCTTACATACCTTTTTGACTGTCACCATACCCAATATCCCACTACAAATGCGGGGAGTTTACCCTTTTATTTCCTGGGAAAAGAAATCTGACCGATTTCTGTTAAAACGTTGGACACGGTCATGATCGGCCGCCTGTGTACATGTACATCTTTTATTATTCTGAGACACTGACTATATATCTACATACAGATGTACTTAAGACATGTATTTCTTTACACTCGTACAGATTCTTAGAGTCTTGGTACAGCTGTACATGAACCTAGCAACCTCCAGACTTCATCAGTGTTCGCCAGGTTTGTGTTAAAACATTATACAAGTGCTGTGTTTATTGGACGAGTATGAAAAAAACTGTTGGAAGCATTTTTAGTAATGGCCAATAGTTTTGGTGTGTTGCACTGATAGTTGTATAAGGCACTGAGACTTAATAGCAAACACAATATGATGACAGTCAGTGGTGATGTCAAAACAAGGATCCACGTGAGAGCATACGGAATACTGCACAACTTATTTTGACTTCCTTGCTAACACGGCTTTCCTTGCCAAAGTTTTACAGTTTAAAGCATTTTACAAACCAGAATGCAATCATTTCTAGATCCTGTGTGAGCCATCATCGGGACATCCCTTTGTCTTACTACACGTAATTTAAAGAGTCCCTCTCAACCAGACAGTGTGGCTTTGTCGCACCAATATTTTACGGCGGCCATTTTTGGGTGCTGCGAAATGCGGCTGAGTAAAAACTACTTTTTGCAGGATTATGGCCTTGTTCTGGCCACAAAAAGCAGTTAGACGACCCCAAGTTAGCACAATTTCAAAAGTACGGCATATCTTAGCCCCACGAAAGATCGAGTTCCTGGATGAAAACAATAACACGTGACCGCAATGCACACTAGTTGAGAGGGACCCTTTAACTGTCAGACATTGTACTGGACATACACGTACATGATTTTATTATTCTACTATTACGTCATTTCACCATAATAAGGTCACAAGCACACGTAAAATGTGCTACAGTATTGACTAGTGAACAGAGCAAATACGGAGAATAGCATAATAGTCGGGAAATTTTGCAGTAGAATAATAAATCCCTTATTCGATGGTTTAACATATCATACGAGCGGACATTTGCCATTGCATCATTTTGCTCATTGCTCGCTACGCAACTCGCAAAATATCCGCGCGTATTATATGTTAAACCATCGAATAAGGTTGTAAGTATTAAATTGTTTTCCTCTTTCAGTACCAAGCTTAAAAATATATCAATTCTCCTTAGTTGAGAGAATTTGGTATTACATCAAGATGATAATAACTATATATGTTGATGACTTGCTTTATTATCATTACCCATTTGCTTGACACTGTATTGAGAAAATGTGATGTTCATCAGCTGAGAATTAAATATATGATGAACAGTGGCACAGTAATTGTCAGTTTCAGTTATTACGCGGATACATGAAATTATGTTTTGTTTCACAGTGTTTCATATTTCTTGATGATGCTCAAGGTGTGGCTGACATTCTTGAAAAACTTATAAAAGACAATGAGGCAAGTGGGATGGGCCGTTAACATTGCATTGGTGCACAAAAGTGTTTATTATTATGTGTATATTGATACAACTAACAATACTATTAATAGTATTAAAGAAGCCAACTCTAGTAATGCAACAGTTACATTAATATGCATTTTTTTGAAAAACAAAAACTTGTTAAAACTTGTTAACAATGATCCATCTGGCAGGAGGTGAACTGGCTTGACTATTTA